TCTTACATGGTGATCTTGAAGAGGAAGCATATATGGAGAAATCACATGGGTTTGTTTCTCAAGGGGAGTCATATGATATGGTTTGTACGCTACACAAGTCTCTTTATGGTTTTAAGCAATCTCTGAGAGCTTGGTTTGGTAGATTCACCATTGTAGTATAATAATTTGTTATGGTTCGTAGTGAAGCTGACCATTCTGTGTTTTATCGTCACTCAGCCCAATGGTGTATTTATCTTATTGTGTATGTAGGTGATATTTTCATAACTGGTAGTGTTCATCATGGAATACTCTAGTTGAAACAATATCTCTCGAATCAATTTCAGACAAAAGACCCTGGTAAACTTCACTATGTTATTGGATGTTGAGGTAGCTCAATCTAAAGATGGTTTAGTGATTTCTCAGCAGAAGTATGCTATGGATGTTTTGGAAGGAACATGTTTGTTGAATGTTAAACCAGCTGATACTCCTATGGATCCAAGTGTCAAACTTCTACCCAATCAGGGGGAGCTTCTATATGACTTAGGAAGGTATAGAAAATTGGTTGGAAATTGAATTATCTCGCAGTCAATCACCCGAACACATCTTCTGAAGCTAGTGCAGTAAGCCAGTTCTTAAATTCTCCTTGTCGAGAATACATGTATGTTGTTGTCCGGATTATGAGATACATCAAATGTGCTTTAGGAAAAGGCCTCGTGTATGAGGGTAAAGAACATACTCAGATAGTTGGATACTCTGATGCTGATTAGGAAAGGTCACCCATTGATAGATGATCCAACTCTGAGTATTATGTACTTGTTGAAGGAAACCTTATATCATGGAAAAGTAAGAAACAAAATGTAGTTGCAAGATCAAGCATCGAGGCAGAGTATAAGGCCATGGAAATGGTAATAGGTGAACTCATTTGGTTAAAACATTTTCTCAAAGAGCTTCAAATTGAAGAAGTAAGACCAATGACACTTGTTTGTGACAATCAAGTTGCATTGCACATTGCTTCAAATCCAGTCTTCCATGAGAGGACCAAACATATTGAGATAGACAATCATTTTTTCAGAGAGAAGATTAAATTAGGCGACATCGCCACAAGCTTTGTCAACTCTAATGATTAATTGGCAGGTATATTTACAAAATCTCTACGAAGTCCCATGAGTACTTATATATGTGGTAAGCTTGGTACATTTGGCTTATATGCTCAAGCTTGACTGGGAATGTTAATATTTGTAAATATATAATGTTAAGAATATTTGTATAGAATAGTCCCACATCGACTATATAATGTAATTAACTGTAATCTCTCTCTCTCTCTCTCTCTCTCTCTCTCTCTCTCTCTTTATGTGTCTGCCTCCCTCTCTATAATATAATCTTTGTAGTGCTTTTCAAAACATACAATTTAACTAAAATGCCTCTTAGACTCTCTCATCTCAATATATAATACAGTCTATGTAGTACTTTTCAAAACACAAGGAGTGCTAAAAAAAATTAAAAAGACAAAAGGCAAAAAAAGAGAAAAAATCAACATTGAACAAGGTTAGAGCAACACCAACAAAATTAGCAATTCCTGTGCAAGGAAAGAATACCACGAAACACCGCCCAAAAGAAAATCAACTAGACCTCCTGCTGCTACACCCATCATCAACACACCAGGAGAATTAATAGCAATTCTGAGACTACTTAACCCTTTGGAACATGTTATAACTCTTGACCAGCTATTGGTGAAGACACATTATAGGATTCTGATGGTAGTTATAGAAGGAAAGTGAGTTCAATGTTTACATGTTAAGGAACAAACTCCAATTTTAAAAAAATGCTCTTATCCTCCACCTCTTTCATGTTTGCTGTCAATCTAAAAAATAACATATCATTACATACTAATTAGGTAGTCCATATTACTGCATGTCAAATCATGACAAAACCTCTCATAGACCTAATCCTCCCACCTAAAAAAAGAAAAACTTGAAGAAAAACCCCACCTCCCCCAAATTTCCCTAATATTTGGAATACTAACTAGTTATCTAACAAATAATTTGTAAACTAGCCTCATATTATTGACTCAACATACTTTACTATAGATAGAAATGATCTAATGTATATTTTTAATACTTTTTAGCACTCATCTTTGTATATTGTTTTAGGAAAATTAGAGCATACATAACACATAAAAAAACCACTTAAATGAATAATATAAATTTAGTAACTTAAAGTTTTTATAAATTAGAATAAGAATTTGCATATAATAATTTTTTGATTTAATGTGAATTAATATCTCAGATTTCAGATTCTCAAAGTAAAACCTAGAAGCTATGACTATCATAAACATAAAACATACAAATAACATTCAATTATACATCTATACACACTACTAAGGAAAATCACTCTTGTAACGGTTGGAAAAAGGATACTATCATGATTTACCAATCGATGTGAGGTAGTGTGTGGTTGTAAGTATGCATTTTTCCACCACGAGCGTGTGACCGTTGTGATAAATTAGAGAGCACGCTACCTATCACAACAGTTATTTTAAATAATCGTTGTAATATATATATATATCTCTATGTGTGTGTGTGTGTGTGTGTGTGTGTGTGTGTGTGTGTGTTTGTGCACGCACGCGTGTGTGTGCGTGCGTGTGTGTCAGGATTCGAAACCCAGCAACAACAATTCAATTAAAGCGCAAATAAAATTAACATTTCACCATGGTTATATATTCCAACCGTGGTGGTATACATATGCGTTAATTATAAAATATGTGAATTACTTGTTTTTCCTCACCCCTCAATAAACATATACAACCATTCAAATTGATTTAGAAGATAATAATCTAAAAAATTATATTATTCTTGAAAAACAACTTAGATGATCCACTGTTTTTCAAATTGCAGACATCTTATAATTCATCTTTTCCTCTTTAACATATATAATTTGGTTCAATACCCAAAATTCTTCAAAGCAACAATAAATTCTCTTATAGTTTATTTTACAAAGCATCAATTTGTTTATTAATTCCGAGTCATCATCATCATTATTATTTTAATCGATGGTGATGATTATTATGATGACAATGATGAAGATGGTTCAAAATTTCTCAACAAATTTGATGTTTTGCAATATAAAATAGAAGAGATAAATCGTTTCTTTGAAGAACTTGAGGCATTGAACCAAATTCTATATGTTAAATAATGAGAGATGAATTACAATATGCATGCAATTCGAAAAACATTAATTGATCTAAGTTGGTTTTCAAATATAACCTAATTTTTAAGTTATCATTGTTGGAATCAATTTAAATGAATGCATGTTTAGTGAGGGGTTAGGGAAACAAGCAATCTATATACAATATAATAAACTCAAATGAAATTGAAAAACGAGACAAACATTTTAAACAATAACAACATATCTACCCGTAAAATGTTTCACAAACATACCTTTTATTGAAAAGATTCGTGGAGAATGAAGACGAAGAAATGATATACTTGTCTCAGACTGGAATCCACAATGAAATGACGAAGAAGCTGAAATGAGAGCGGCAAACTTGTGTCTCATGATCTGGGTCTTTCACATAAGTATGCAGCTTTCACATTAGCTCCGCCCTCCTTGTATTTTTTTTTCATAGCAACACAAACAATTTATGAACCACACCTACAAGTCAAAATGTATATTATCATGTTAACCTGATTTGAAAACATAAACTAGCATGACATTGTAATCCTATAAATAACATGTTAACCTCATTTAGAAACATAAACTAGCATGTTAACATAAACTAAAACCCAAGTAATGTCTAATACACTGATGTCTCTATTACTCATGTCTTAAATGTAATTAAATTGACCAAAACAAAAATTTGATTTATTAAGAAGAAAACAAAAACAAATATCATTTCATGAAGCAAACAAGGTAACAAATATTTTTAAATTTTTAAGAAGAACTATCGTCATACATAGAACATATATGGTAACTGGGATCCATTTCAAAAATAAAAATTCAAATAGAGATAACTCAAACAACATGAATATCATATCAAATAAAAATCCTAAACCATAAACCTTAAGTTTTCTACCAAATGAAAACTTATGAAAAACAAAGAAAAATGGAAGAACCTATACACACAAAAATGGAAGAAAACTTATGAATAACATGGAAGAGAGCATATGAAAAAAAAGAATAATGATAAAGCGTATGAACTTGACTACGTTTTAATAATAATTGTGATAATTATTATTTTAATATCTATATACTTATAAGATAATAAGGACAAATTTTTTTTTGACAAAAAATATAAAAAAATTTTGGTGTTGAGAATTGAAGCAAGTAAGTTTTAATAAAATAATAAAAAATTCAGGCGCGCAAAAATATTTTATTACGGTTGTTTAAACGGCCTTGGTAATATGGTGTTATCAATTTATAGTAACAATAATATTTGTAACTATAATTTGTACATAAATAATCAGTTACAAATTACAATTAACAACATTTAAAATCATGTTTATTCCTGTCCAGTTGGTGATTAATGAAACGCAACACTATTTTATATTCATTAATTATAAAATTTAAGATACGTTAATCATTTATTTTCCTATAGTGTTATCACTTATCATAATGCGCAGCCATGCATTTTACTAACGACATTCAAAATCAAATCATTATTGAACCACAACACTGTCATATACTTTAATTATAAAATTTAAGTTGAATTAATCATTTAATTTCATAGTGTCATCACAATCCGCAGCCATGCATTTTAAAAATGGTACCCACCTCAAGGGAGAAATGATCAGGTCAACACAACACAACCCGCCAATATTGATAGTGTCCTCCTGCTTTTAACCGTGTTGTTCCCAACAAGTCTTCAACTTCTTTCTTTTCTATATATATAAAGCCACTACTCTTTCCTCTCTTATATCACAATTCATACAATTCACTTAGTATTTCACAACTTATCTTCATCTCACTGACTTTTTCATTGATATTTCTGAATCCAAAAACTCAATATCTCAGCCACCGTATATATGGCAGATAAGTACTCCCAGCTAACAACTGAACAACACCGATCTAGCCACCGTCGCAACAGAAGTTGTTGCTGCTGTCTCTTTAGCTTCTTCTGGAAGCTTCTGGTTTCACTCGTCTTCCTCTTCGCTCTCATATTCCTTATCTTCTACCTCATTGTTCAACCCCGTGCCTTCAAGTTCTATGTCACGAAAGCCGAATTAACCCAATTCGACTATTCCAATGACATACTACACTACAACATGGTGCTCAATTTCACTGCCCGTAATCCAAATAAAAAACTCGGTATCTATTACGATAAAGTTGAGGCTCAAGCATTTTACGAAGGGGCAAGGTTTGCGAATGTCGATGTGATCACACACATGAACTCTTTCCGCCAAGACAAGAAAAGCAGTGACCCTATGAGTGCCGTTTTCTCAGGACAACAATTGTTGATGCTCCATAGTGATCAAGTGTCTGAATTCAACAAAGACAAGAGTGTTGGAGTTTATGATATCTATGTGAAACTCTACTTCAGGATTAGGTTCAAACTCGGAGACTCGATTTCTCATAATTACAAGCCCAAGGTCAAGTGTGATCTCAACGTTTCGTTGAGTTCTAGGAATAATGCAACTTTTACCTTCACTAGGGTTTTGCCTACTAAGTGCGATGTTATGTTCTAGGTTATACATGCCTCTGTTTTTCTTTTTGGATTTTTTCTCAAATATTTATTTTTGTAATTTTAATGATTTGCGATACTATTTGTTACTTTTTATTCATTCATTGTTAAATGGTCATACCATCATGCAATGTGTATACTTGGGCTCTATATTTTTTTTTTATTGATCTCCATTTAGGATGTAATAAAGACTCTATCTCTTACTTTTATTAAGTTTGATTTATTTAACTCTTCTAGGAAAATATATCTCCAAAAAGAATGTTTTGTTTGATTAATACATCAAAACTATCCTCTTCCTACTTGAGTATAGGCTCAATAACGTATTAAACCTAAGATATAATTATAAAATCCAAAACTAAAAATATTTATGACTAGAGTGACGTCAAGAGGATAGAATCAAAAGGAAAAATATTTATTTCAATATTGGTTGTTGGTTGAAGGTCCTAGGACCTGTAGAGTAAGCACATATATCTGCCTTAGAAAACACTAGATTCCGATAAGAAGCTAAATCATGACAATTAAATAATAGAATGAATTATATTGATGGCCATTTCATATGATACTATAATGGGGAATTGATGCCTGTTTAATTTAAATGGACAAGGGGATTGGGATGGGGACATATCCATTATCGAAATGTAAATGAATTTTCCATGTCCTTTCCTACTCATAATTGTTGCCTCAAGAACATGGGTTGTCATCTTTGTTATAATTACTCTTGTTCCATTACAAAACCTTTTGACTGATCGATGTTTCTCATAAGCATAATATTCCAACGTGGTTACCGCTTGACTTTAAATGAAACTTCCATACCCAACAAAGCTTCAAACACTAATGGGAATTCAAATGGATCATCAAATCCAGACTATATAAGTAAGTATAAGCATTATAAAACATTAAATTAGAACAAACATTAAGTAACTATTACATATTTACAATAGGAATAAACCTCAACCATTGCGTTGCACATTTGAGCATCAGATACACCCAATATCTATGAGCTTTCTCGGTCCTATAGAAAAAATTTACAACGTCTTCCAGAATAAACAACTTCAATTTCAATTTTATACCTAACAAAACACGATATTGATGGCAATAGTAAAATTCATGTCAACATATGTGATTAGGTAACATTCACAATATCATGAGTATCATATTTCAAGGTATGATACCTAAATATTTCAACTTCAGCGGAATGGTCAGCACCACATATGAAAGGAGGTTTGTCTCCCCGAGATACCTTTGGGAAATGATGGCATGCTTGATAATACCATTCGTATTGTGATACAATAAGCTTATCAGTGGTAGCTACGGTAACACAAAATGTAATCTGCGTGAATAGGAAAAAAAAAACAAAATATCTCACATTGGAGGAAAACGTTAGATAATATAAAGAAAGCAGCAAAGATAATCATAGTAATAAGTAATGTATACATTAGGAAGTTTAATAATTAGATTCAGGGGAAGAAAAATAGCTTTTTATATTAAATTTTTATAAGGAGTTTGCTAAGAAGTTGTCGAGTTTTGTGACCAGACTTCAGAATGTGAGCTAACTTGGCTCGACATATGAACCAAAGAGTCCTTAGGGATGCTAAAGGCAAAGGGAAATAAGTATATAAGTATAAGAAAATAAAATCTATAAAGAGTTAGGTCATGTTAATGATACACGAATGTGTTCGTAGTCGCGCCTTTTAAGAAAATAATTGATTATAGGTAAATCACCATTGATGTATAGTTTGGTTACATTCTAAGTGTTTCTAACAGATACTAGATACTTTCCTACATATACAATAATATGATTAAGTCATAAAAGATAATAAAGACTTTCCAGTTGATTCTATAAAGAAAAGGAAAGAAATATACAAATACGTTCTTCCTTGACTTTATTGTACTGAAGTTAGAAGACAATTGAAAAAGATGATTTATTTTGTTGTTGATTGTATTTGATGAATTGCAAGGCATACACCTCCCAAAGGGTAATGTTTATAGTGTTGTTGCTACAAAATGCAAAAGAAACATTAACACATCTATAATATAAGAGGAAGTAAGATATGCATGTTAGACAATAAGTTTCGATCTAGAGGGGGTGAGTAGATCACAAATTCTAAATCAAACTTTTGGCAAAAATGGTTTTTAAAAGTTTTATGGCACAACAGAAACAACCCAAATCAAATTGTCTAACCGAAACTCTATCGAAAAGCTTGAATATGCGTAAAGGTTCACAATTGAATAATAATGAACACAAATTGTTCAACAACGATTAATCAAAAACAATTAAATTCTAGGCTATACGTAGAGCTTATTTCCAATTATCAAAATCACAAAAACGCAACAATGCAATTTATTAAACACCTTGTGTGCAATCGATATCTTTTTGGAAATTTGATTTGTTTAGTTGATCCAAAACCAATCACAATCAATCGGATTATGATTCTATCAACAAAACCTAATTCAAAAATATTATAAAAAATAATTTTCAATCGAATTGATCAAACAACTAATGAATTCAATAATGTTCTAAAACCAAAATTAAAAGAGAGAGATAGAGAGAGACACAAGGATTTGTTTAGGAAGTTCTCCAATTGACCTCGCTATGAGTACGTCTGCCCTTAGAAAGAAGTTGTAAAACGAGAAAGGTAAAACATGTGATTTGTATTGTTTTACTCAATACTGGGTTCACCAAAAAGTTGCATACAACCAGAAAGATAGAATGGTAAAAAACATGTTAGTATAATAGAATGAGAAGGTTTGACAATAAATAAACACATCCGGTATCCAAAGTTAGTGTATTACAGTAAGCTAAAACACAAATTAGTATGGTTAAAAACATATTACAGATAGGGAAAAAACATGTTATTGTATAAAGCAAGAAAAAACATAACTAAAAATCAAATCAAACATATTACAGCAAAAAAACATGTTACTGTATACATCAAGCTAAAACATGTTAATATGGTTAAAAGCATGCTATTAAAAAACACGATTTCAAATCGAATCAATAAGAATAATCAGTAAACATATTTGACCCAACACATAGAGAAAAACCTGATTTTAAACCTAAATGTTTCCTAAATATAACAAACGAAAACAACAATATATTTGACCAAGCGCATAGAGGAAATAGAGAAATGTAAAGCAACATATAAATATTGATAGAAAAAAGAAAATGTGACATAAATGTGAGAGGAACTAACATCTTTGTCAGCAACGATACTCATTTGTGTTGGATATGACAGCCTATTTATGGTGGGCTTTAATGACAGCCTTCCATAGCTCCTTCTTGTTGTTAATGTCCTTAATCTTTTCAAATGGTTTGTTCATGATAAACTCAAAGGAGGAAGAGAAAAGATCGATTTAGGGTGTCTGTGGGAGAGAAGGAAAAAAGGTGTATGAGGGAAGAAAGAAATATGTTTGGATTAATATCTAAAGAAATGATTGAGTAATAGAACAAAGTGTGAAACACTTGATTTTGATTAGACGTTTGATTTTATTGGCATAAAAAGAAACGTGTTGTAAGTGGTAGAGGAAAAGTAGTCATATGTATTTTTATTGGAACCACCGTAGAAACTTAGTTTGAAAAAATAAATTTTAGACGGAAAATAACCTCAGTTTCATGACGTGGCAACAGAAGACCAAAGGGCAGGGAAATCATTTCCAGAGCATAAGATTTTCTTATATTATAAATTTCTTATATTATAAATATGACATTTTTGTTTTTAAAGTTGTTTTGGCAATCAAATGTAATTTATATATTTAGATGAAAAGTTAATAGTTAGATGTTTTAGAATGAGTTATATTGAGTGTAATGAATGTGAGCGTGTCTTGAAGTAAATTGAAAAGGAAAAATAAAAAAGTTGTTGCTGGAATTATTGTAGTAATTTAAGAATCAACCTCAAATGTGTAAAGAGTGTCTCATTCTTAAAAGGCACAACTAAAGGGAATATTCCAACTGTATTTATTGATGTTAATGAGTCTAAATAATTAGTAATCTAAACGACAAAAGAGACCCAAAAACTTAGGAAAAATAAATTCCCAAAAGGCATCCTAGAAATGACACCCATCTCATATTAATGGTATGTTTTGGTATAGGTGAAATAAGGGAGAGAGAAGTTGAGAAATACTAAAAATTGTTTGTTTGATTTGAAAGAGAGAGATTAAATAGAGAGATAAATGTGTAGGACCCATATCTTATTCCAATCTTCTCAACACAGCGAAGAAAGTGGAAAGATGAGAGCATCTTCTTTAAAATGACAATGTTGTCCCTTTTGTGTCATTATCTATATTTATTTCTTGACTTTTTTTCTTACTATGTTTTGTTATTATTATAGTTGTTTTAGTGAAGATCACTATACGGTGGCTCGTTTTGAGAATTTTACATTATATGAGATTATTCATTTATTAATAACTAATAAAATTTATAAAGTTGTTTTAAAGTTATTTGCAAATTTTATTCCATTTACTAATAAAGGTTTTCTAATAATAAATTAACAAAATTTTAACTTAAAAATATTAATTAATATAAGAATGTTAAAAATGAAACCCACTAGTTTATTTAACACAAATTTATTATTTAGAGATTCATTGATAAAATTGAAAAAATATAACAATGAAATTAATAAATTAACTTAATTCAACTAAGGGTATTTATTGTTTTGTCATAAAATAAGACACTACTTTCTCTTCTATTTCTCTATTCTTTCTCTTATACCAAATAATATGTCAAATCTACTATATTTCTATTTATTTTGTCTCTTTTCACACTCTTTTTCACTTCTTTTTCTTTTCTGAACTTCTTTTCCCAACAAAACACACCCTAAGGGGAGAGACTTCCAATTTCATTTTTACCATTGTTTTCAAATTTATAATGATTATGGGTCTAAGCATCTCAACTAAAATATACTCCCTTCATTCTCTTTTATAAGCAAATTTTAACTTCCTAGATTCATTCAATAAATGATGTATTTAGACTATATATTGATTAGATGCATTAATTACTTAATGAAT